AGATGAATAAGTACAATTATTTTCTTTTTCTTTCGTATTTTTTATCTACCTAATTCCCACAGCAGCTGGAAAGGTTAAATGTCTGAATCAGGAATCTATGTGACTGTTGTCAAAAGAGGAGACAAGTGTTAGTACTCTGAGGCAGGAACAAGGAATAAAAAAGGGGTAAGGGCTAAAAAATATACTCCACTTCAGAGACTTTCACAAGTTACTTCTGGATTTTTCATCTGATATTTTCAAAAAAGTGAATCAGCATCTGCAGCTCGGGCAAATGTGTAAGACAAGGGGTAAAATCTGGTGCTTTTTGCTCTATTCTAAAATACTTTTTGCTCTGTTCTAAAATACTATGGAGCCTCTCAGAATTATGAGCAAAAGAATAAAAAAGTAAATTTAGTATCAGAGCTTCCAGGAGTTGCTTAGGTGCAGTTCTTAAAAAATTCCTTCAGCTATTGCCTGTAGAGACAGACTGCCTCTCAGTGTCTCTCCCTCTCACACTCTTTCTGTATCTAAAGCTCAGCTACTCACCTCACAACAGGCACCGAGCAGCAGCTCACACACAAAGAGATAAAACACAAATTCTTTCACTGTAATAACTTTTTAACCTCTGCAGTGCCAGCTGCTCCAATCAAACTGTAATCAATGAGCTGTTCAGGGAGCTGGTTAATTGGCTCACTTGAAAGATTGAAAGCACACAAAACTTCCAACTGGTTTAACACTTTTCCAGGGACTGTTGTGAGGCAATAGCTGCAGAGGTACTGCAATGCAGCACAGCTCAGCTTGCAGACCACTGACACAGAATATTTTTCAAAAATCTTAAGGCTATACTTCACCTTTTCACACCGCTGTTGGGGAAAGGAACATGAGCTTTTGAGACTAAAATGTGCAATAAAGATTTTTAGCAGCTTTATGAGGAGACTAGAACTCAGTTTTTCCCCACTCCCAAGCTATGTCTTCCAGGACAAATTGTCACTATTTCAACCACAGTTCCCTTTTCTTTAAAAATAATTTTTAGCTTAACTGAAAAAATATTGGGTTCCTTTTTTTTTTTTTTTTTTTTTCCCTTAATTCCTTCCATATTATGCTGTACTTGCAACTCTTGCCACTAAACAGCGAAATATGTCCTGAAGAAAAACCTGGAAGTGTAAAATGTGTTTCCCTGTGTGGTATATATTCCATTTTAACTTCCACTTAATTGTTTAGCAGGAACACACTGATCCATCCTAAGATTATTTTCCAGGCTCGGGTTTTTCTTTTGCATTTACTTCATATCTGTGCAACATTTTAAGAGATCTGAGAGTTGTTAAGCTGTTAAGGAAAGTCAAAATACTTCTGATTATTAAAAAATTGGAGTGCAAAGCTAAATATGAGTTGTTGGTTGTCTTCTAATTTTGTTCTAAGTAGCTTTTGGACCCTAAATTATCTTTAATCTCATATCAGCCACATGCAGAAGATGTGAGTTTCACAAGAATATGAAAGGTTATTTTTTGAAATCTGTGAGGACTAGTTAGTGTGGACTGAATAAATCAACAAACCTGCACATAAACTACATCCACAATGATTATTAAGACCTCATGATGCTTAACATTCATTCTCCTCCATTTACACAATACATGTGTACATAACATAAAATACCCAGGCTATTTTCAGATTTTTTAATAAAAGTAAGGAATCACTAAAAAAACCCAGAGTTGTGGCTGCTGTTCCTAAATATGTACTTCTACTGCTGAGCTCTGATTTTTTCAATCTCTGAATTTGATTTCCTCTTGCTATTAATAATCTATCCCTAATTTTGCTCACAGAATTTAGATTACTGTTTGGAATTTCATAATGCTTTGCCTCTTCTATTTCTCAGAGAGAAGAAGGAAATAAAGGTGTTGAGAGTAAATAAGGGAAAAAGGGACTGAAGAGCAAAACTGAGGAACTGGTTCTCCATTTATACTATCCCTTTTATTTCCATTCAACAACTTTGCATGAAATCACTGTTTCTTCTATTCTCCCTTTATTCACAGTATCTGTGCTCTTTTACAGCATTTTCACCCAGACCACTTCCATGTGAGGGATGAGCAGTGTGGTTCAGCTGAGCACCATCACCAACCACAGATCTGACAGCATTCAAAAAAATGTGATGCTATTCTGTTTTGTCTGAGCTCATCTCTGCAGTTGTGCATTCCAAACAGGATGACAAAAAAAAGCACCATAATATTGATGTGAAAAGCTATTCAAATTGATGGCTAGCACTAGGGTTTTGTTTTATTTTTGTAGGAGTTACCATTCTTACGAGATTTTTTGCCAAGTCTCTACAAATAACTGTTAAGGAAGTTCATATGAGGCTTCAAATATGATTCTGTTTGAAACAAGGAAAGGTACATATAAACTTTGAAAGCTGATTCTATAATATTTACCTTATTTTCTTCCCACAGCATAGTATTCTATTTATTTTTTGAGAAAATACCAAGATAAGCATACTGGAAGCTTTCCTTCACTGCACAAAATAAGCTATATCTACTTTCAATTTTAATTGCTAATCATCAGCTTGCTTACAGTATTGACTGGTACTTACATCATCATCACTCAATACCTGAAATATTAATCGAAGACAATGTACTGATCAACATTTGCAGTGACTATTCTTGGATCTCCCCAGAAAAAGCTGAAGTTGTAGTAACAACTCAGAATTTCTAGTGTGAAAATGGAAGAAGCTACCAGCCAACTTAGCTTACGCACTTTACCAGATTTGGAAGCGTTTAAAAGTGAGAAGCCCCTGAGGGAAGTACTGCTGTACAGTTTTAAGACTATTTTATGACTATATTCCAATATATGCAACAAGATAAGATACAGTAAATAAGAAATCAGGCATAAATTTCAAATAAAGGACAAGAAGATTTCTGCAATAACTTTAGAATAAAATAAGTATTTAGTCTCATATAGAGTGTGTTTGACTTTCTGTGTAGCCTATAAATCTTTACATAACCTTTTGTGAAGGTTATGTAACTCTTAAAAAGTTTTTTCATCTTTCTTTGCTGTTAGGGAATTCTCAGGAAACAAATTTTTCATTTTACATCTGACTTATGCAGTTTGCATTAACCAGAATCTCAGATTAAAATTAAGTATTTCAGCTGTAACATAACACATGCTGGGCAACTATACAGTACCCTCACTACTTTTAAAGATTCATTCATTTACTATAAAACTACAAACTTTTGGGTCCTGTTTCTCACAAGCTTCACTCTCTGTGGTGTGTTTTGAGATATTTGACTGAAACAGAAAACTGGCTTTGCTTCACTGACAAGAAGTGATGCAGTTGGGACTAGTCTGCCCTCAACAGGGGCTTTGGCGAATGGAGCAATGACATAGAAAAAATGGAATAAATATCCAGTATAATACCTGATGGATTTAATCAGCATCATTTGAATTGTATGTTCACCAAAACTGAATTTGATACAGGACTGAGCTGCTAAAATGCAGGGTACAAATATCTCAACTAGAAGTTCAATCCTAATAGGAAAAAGCCATCAAGCAATATATTTTTTTTGTGTATTAACAATGGCATGGAACAACTGTGACATGTCAGTGATTGCTACAAGTACCCAGAAACCATGGTGATAACTGCAGTGTAAAATCACCAGACAGCAAACAAGATTGCTGGAACTAATAGGAACATGGTTTCATTCAGAGCCCAGTGCAGATCTCCATCTGTAAGGGAATTGCTTTTCAATACTTCTTTGAAGTAATGCTGATTATTACTCATGCATTTTTATATTAATATCTTCCATTTATTTAACTGAAGAGAGATACTTTCAATTTAATTTGCTCTCATCTTCCCATTTCTTACTATGGCCCAATTTATTCTGTTTGGTGACTCAAGCACAGATAAACTAATAAATAGATGTTTGATTCCAGATCTGAAGCACAACTGTACATATGACTAAAATAGAAGCTGGTTTTCTCCTTGAATGCAATCATCAGGATCCAAAGAAATTAAAGAAAGTATCATATTGGATAAATTCTTGAAGTACTAATTCATCTTCCCTAAAAAAACCTGACTGACTGAGCATGTTATTAGAGCTGTTGCTTCACCTGTGAGACTTACATATCTCCTAGGCTGGGCACAATCAGGCAGAATCAACTTGTGAATTGAGCTAGAACTGCTTCCTGAAAAATGATAACATGGTGCCAGCAAATCTTCACAGACACTTGTACTTGCTGAAATAATCTGGCAAAGGCTTTAAAGTAATAACTAGTGAAGAGAAAAACCACCTTGAGTTCCAATCAGAAGGTAATATTCCTCTCACAAATTTCCTGAAAACCTCAGATAGTCATTTGGGGCACTGATCATGGACAACAAGGAGTTCTTTAATTCTGGACTCCAAATCAATCAGTGCCTACTTCTGCCCACTGAAACTAGCTTAACTTCTAGAAGGCAAAATATTAGACAGCAACATTTGAATGAGATGCATCCCACCTTAAATGTCTTGCATTCTGCTGAATTTCCTGATGATGCTTTTATTTACAAAGCTGTCATTTTCTCTAATAAGTAGTTGTTATCCAGGCCTAATTGCCCTGAAGGTACAAGGACGCTGTCATCCAAAAGTAATAACGGGAAGCTCTACACATTCTGCAGGAAGCATTTATCCTTGTCTAATTCTAATCTGACTGTTTGAAGCAATGTCAGATCTTCCTGGCGTTTCTGTTCTCTCTTAACCTATCTTTTGCACTATTTCCAGGAAGAGACTAGAAAAGGACATAAAATGAGCACTAATGAGAGTAAAATGAATAACTAACTGTTGATTACTGTGTTATTATATGCACACTTAAAGAGTGCTCTGTGACAAAAATACAGCCATTTCCTTGGGACAGAATTGTCACTTTGATTTTCATTCCAGATGACTGCTGATGATAGCTGGGAAACTCGCTACCAACAACAGCCTCACCCTGTTAAAGGAGTGGCTCCAGAGCACTGCTCTTTTGCCATCTGCCTTCCAGGTGGTTGTTTCACTTACCCTCTGGCTGGTATTGTGCTATGATGGTTACCGTCTGCCCCGCTCCTTTGAGCGCAGCCGCAGCCTGCTCATGGGTAGCACCCCGGAGATCAATGCCGTTCACCTGTGCAGGGAACCGAGACAACAACAGGTATGAGCAGCTTGACATTACACAGGGAGACAGAAGTGGGGTTCTATCCTAAATATCTGATGGATGCAAAGGTCAGATGGATGTTCAGGTGCAGAGGTAAAGTACAAAATCAAAAAGGCTGAGAGGAAACTTCCTATGACTGGCCAAGAGGCACACACCAGTACCACTGACCCACAGTTTGACTGTGCTTATCCATGAGCATTCTCTGACCACTTTTGGGTGTTTCCTTCTCTACTGAGTTTACATTTCTGGTTATCTCCTCATCAAGTAATATCAATATATTAAGTTTAAAAGGTAAATTTTCTGTGATGCTTGAAGGTCGCTGAAGAATGCTGCAAGCAAAGAAGCTGTTCCTTCAGTCAAACTCTGCAGACCCAGTCAGTAGCATCAGAAAATCCAGAGATACATAGAGTGTGTCTAACAAAAGCTGCTGGCTGCAGAACTTTCAGAGCAAACATCCCATCTACTCTTTTCTGTTCATGCAACCCCTCTATTTCCTGGGAATATCCTGTGTCTTGCACACAACAGCAATGGAGTTGCTATCAGACACAGCTTCTTCAACTCTGGCTGTTCAACATCCACACAGCTTTCCATATGGCTTCTTTTTCTTAACCATTTTTGGCTGCACAAGACATGGAAAAGGAACAGAATAGAACAAAGTAGGAAATCCACCCCTAAAACTCGGGCAGTTTCAGAACTCTTTGGATTTGTTTTTGTGATATATATTTTGTCAGCAGTATCCTAAGAAAGGGACAGAATATACAGATACACATATATCACATACAGATTTATTAACTGATCCAGTAACTTGAATCCTCCTTTCCAGTGGGAGCATTACTGTCTGGCTGTACTGAAGTATGTGAGATTTCTTTTATTTATGTATTTATGTTTGCATTTATGTATTTGTTTATCTTATGCATTTATCTGTCTTTCTTCTTTCACTTTCTTCTGTCTTTCACCTCTACGGGTTTCCACCTTATAAAATTTTAGTGAAAAACAGGAAACTTTTGATATGTAACAACCTCAGTAGGACAGAAATCCAATTCTGATTACAGAGGAAAAGAAAAAGAAAGGAAATTAAGGGCAGGGAGAGGAATGAGAATCATGCCATATGAAGCAAATATGCCAAAACACTAGACCTAAATCCTCAGCTATAGCAAATATTTGTGTTTATGTTTACCAAGTATCATTGCAAGATGGCTAAGCACATATTAGAAAGAAATTTTTTTAAAATTTAAATTTTAACAACTTTTTAAAAATTACAAAAATAAATTTGATTCCATAGAACTTTTTAAGTAACAGCTATTGAGTTTGTTATGAATATATTTATTTGGCTCAATAACATTTAGAAACTGGCCCATCTTAACTTGCTGTCTTTGATCAAATTTTAGAGATTATGCTGTTTTGAGAACTCAATTATTATTTACCATGGAATCACAGAGTCATAGAATAGTGTGGGTTGGAAGGAAACTTTAAAATCGCAGCAATGAACAGGGACATCTTCAACTAGACCATGTGGCTCAGAGTCCTGTCCATCCTGACCTTGAATGTTTCCAGGGATGGAGCTCCCACCACCTCTCTGGGAAATCTGTGCCAGAGTATCACCACTGGCATAATAAAAAAAACTCTTCCTTAGTTTCATGACACAGTTTAGTTCTTACTACTATGCAAACAAGACTTAGATTATTACTATTAGAAAAACTAATTTGTGATAGCATTTATATAAAGCCCAGGAGATACCATAGCTTCTGATCCAGAAGACTGCATGATGTTGTAGAACTGATGACTGTACACAGAAATTATGAGCCTGGGGCAAATATAACATGATAAACTTCATAATTTAATACAGGAGTCCTCAGTTGTCCCATCTCCCTGGGACGTTATAATGGCTGGTAGAAGCTTTCAAAAAAAAATGAGCCAAAGGTTCAAAAGCTTTCATTAAAGTTGTGTACTGAAACCTCTGGGAAACACTCACTGAAATTCAGTCTAGGAATATATGACCCTAGAGAGCAATAATTAAGTGCATTCTAAAAGAACAAAAGGAGAGAAGCAGAACTTTCAGTACCATAAAAATCTCCCATATTTTAATCTGCAACAGTGAAAATACATAAAGAGGAAGATAATGTCAACTAGAACTTTGCAACACCTGTTGAGATTACCAGCTTCCTGTAAGGAACACAAATTAGGGTACTGCTGTTGGAAAAGAGGTCCTGTTCCCTACCATTCCTCAGGTGGGAATGGTGTTGTGACACTTGATGCTGCATTGCATTGAGCACAGATGCACCAGCACTACAATTACTCAATAACTGAGCACAAAATTGAGTTTTGTGAAGTGTGAGCAGAATTCCTAAATTTAAGAACAGTGCCTGTATCATGGCATAAAGGAAACATCAGCCTCGATTTTGTGTCTGAAGGAGACAACTCTGAAGCCAAGTAACCTTCCCTTTAAGAGAGAGCTTTGTTTTTATCTGTGTGCTTTTCCCTTTTGTAACTGAAGTCCTTGACAGAGAGTCCCACAAAAGCACAGGATGATCTGAAGAAAAGCATAAAGGAACACTCCTGAATTCCTGAGTTCCTGAGATGGGGAGATGGATATGGATTATGTCACCTGGTCAGCATTAGAAAGTCCCAAGGGAAAAAAAAATAATTGTTCAGGCTTGAGGTCAAAGACTATGAGAGGACACAAGCCTTTCTTAAGCAATATAGGAAAACATTGTAGTGGTCTGTGAAGTTGTGTTAATAGTACAGAAGATTTAAACATTATTAAAAAATCCCAATAATGTCTCTATAAATAAAAGGAGAGAATGTATGAAAGAATAAGAAAATCACATGCTTATTCTCCTTCTCTTCTGTGAAACAATACTTCTCTGCTTGTGTGAACTAATAAGGACAATCCTAATAACACATAAAGACTGTGAATATAAGACAGGAATTTCACTGAAGTTGTTATGGAAATATTTTTCACTTCTCCACAGAAAAACAAGAAGCCAGCTGAAATGAACATTTCAGCTGAAATGGCAGCTGACTACTTTTTGCCCTTTGCACCCTTGGTCTAGAAGAAATTATTGCCTAAGGTACAAATACAACACATTGCAGTGAATGAATTTTCCTGAAATTAATTTCACTTTTATGTTAGGATATAGCAGGGGATAGACACGTGAGGAAGACTTAGAGGCCTGAGTGGCTGAAATCGAAAGAGCAAGGAAAAGAAATGCCAGAGAGAAAGTAACACATAAATGCTATCTTCTGCAATTTTCATCTAGATCACAATTAAGCTAGGCAAACCAGATTAAGCAATGTTGAACAGGGAAATGACCTGACCACATTAGGTTGCCAAAGCTGTGATCTCCCTCTTGGAGACACACAGCTGCAGAAAAAAAAAAAATCAAATAACCATTGCTAAATAGGGAGGGAGAGTTCTGTTTGCATGTTATTTTATTCACCAACAGTGACGGAATCTCACTGTAGGATAACAGGTATTAAATTTAGAAATTACTTATAATCTAGTCTGACTTTGTAAAGAAAAAGCAGAGTAGATGCTAACTTGATTTCTGGGTATCATTTCCCCCTATTTAAAAGCAAATATAATCAGCTCCCAAACCTTCTAGTTGAAAACCAGCATATTCACATAGCAACATTAAATCTTTATGAAAGGCACCATTAGTTTATATGTTTTAATCAAATTTTTACCATTAGACCAAAATGAACAAGTATTCAGAGAGAATAAAATAAATAATATTCTGTCTAGCCTCTTCCTCCAAAATAATATCTTAATTTTATGTCTCATAATAATTGTGTGCAGTAAGATTTTTGCCTGACACGATTTCAATGCAAATTGTTAAATCTGATTAAAATTATTGTGCTTAATTAATGTAACATAATTTATGTGAAGAATAATCAGTAAAAGACAATTTTAAAGAATCCGAAAAAGGTGCAAGTGTGCACAGGAAAGTTTAATAAATATCACAGGCTGTTTGGCTGTTTGGTTTTTTTTTTTTTTTTTTTTTTTTCTTCTATAATTGCTTCCTTTAGAATGTATTATTAGAATGTATTATACAATAAGCAAAGTAGCTGTTCTGGGCTTGACTGCACAGCCCTGATGTCCTGGCCCAGAATGAACTTGACTGCACAATTTCTGATGCCTGACTCTAAAATGAATTTGACATAATGGAAATAAGAAGAGCCTGCAGCTTATACTGAAGTCTGTCTCTTCTGTGTTTTGAACTGGCAAAAAGCAGTTCGAAAGCTTACAAACAAAGAGGAGTGCTGCAATAGAAGATTAGAGTTGAAAACTATGGTCAAAACTAAATTGAGATGGAGAAAATATGCAACAGTAGCTCACAGTAGTTACTGGGCCTTTGCATTTGTTGACTCAAAATAAAGCAAGATCTTCATTTAATACTGAATCATCATTGAAATGAAAAATCAGATTTACTTTTGACATAGATTGAGCTGTTCTAAAATTGGAAGAGTTATATTCCCTCTGAAATATTTGAGCGGCCCATATTAGTAGAAATTTGATTGTATTCTGAACAGACTTGTTGTAGTTTGGAGGCTTCTAGAAACTGAACATGATTTTTATGTAGGTTATTCAAACAGAAGCTAGCAGACTAATCTGATTTATTTTGCCATTTCTTTCTTTAGGCCACCTTATTTTGTGTTCATACTGTGGTTAAATGAATACTTGGAACCAAATAGCTTGTTGGATTGGAAAATAAAGGAAAAACATATCATTTCCCTGGGGAGGAAACATAAAGGATTTCTTTCCATTACTTCTTTAAGTTGTCACTGACATAGTACATGCTTTTATATGCTAAATTAAAAGGTGAAGGAAAGGCACTCTTTTACCACAAAACAAAGAATAGAGCAGAGTTTTCAAATTCTGTCTAAATTCTTCTATTTGTTGAAATCATAAAATAAGAGCTTTTGGTGCCTGAAAAAGCAAACGGAAGTCTGAATAATGACAACTGTTT